TAGTATTCATCGAAACCCCTTCCCACAAGTCCAACCTCAAATTATCTCAAATTTAGGGGTCAAATATCATCCTGAAGTTCATTCATGGAGCAAGATTACCATCTCGCATTTGTTTCTTCTGGGGGGGACAGTAATTATCACAGAGTTTTTCTAGCTTGGCAGGCCTCCTAACACCTATGATTGATCCAGTTGACCTTTAACCCCTAAAATAATTTTTCTAGAACCAACTAAGACATATATATTCATCATTGGTTAAAGATAACTAGAATTTCCCATTAACTTAAACAATCTTCAATTGAATTTACTTCTTAACAGAAAAATCTCTTATTGATCAAGCTTTCTGAGGCATGTAAGACAATTTCTTGCAGGTGGGCCTACGGCACACTCTCTATTTGTTCTTACGTTTCATCTACATTCTACATCCTGAAACTAATTGTAGTCCTAAAAGAAAAGATAACTACTATGCCAAGAAAGCAAATCTCTTAGTTGATTAGGACACAATTTTATCTAAGCTAAAACTTCTGATTTCCCAATTCACTTAGAGAGGAGACCTTCTCTCATTTCACGAGGAAAACCAAGCTCCTCCATCCCAACAACTGCAACTCCAAAATTAAGAGGCTCCAGTCAAAGAAATGTGGAGAAAGAAAAAAACCCAACTTGTTATTAAAGAATATATGTGTATAGACAAACACAACAAAAGAAAAACAAGAAACAATACTGCACCCAAATTCCCACCAAAAACAGCCAAGTACCTTTTGCTTTTTGGCGCAGTTCTAACCATCACCAGCAGGGGGTGCTGCTGGGCTCTGGTGGAGCAGAGGCTGCAATTGCTCTCTGATGGTCAGCAGGGGGCACTGTTGGATCTCTGGAAGGGCAGAGGCTGCAGTTGCTCTCTAGTGGTTGGCAGAGGGCACTGTTGGGCTCTGGTGGCCGCCATGTGGGCCCCTGCTGGAGGCAGATGGACAGGGACCCCCCCACTGAAGGGGGAAAGGACAAGGAAGGAGGGTAATCCTCCTGTGGTCTCATGCTGTCAAAGACTGTGGCTGGAACTCCCCTTCCTCATCAATGGACACAAACTTCCCCCGGCATGGAAAGAGGAGGAGGAGGAGGGAAGAAAAGCAGCCTTTTCCCTCAGAAATTCCTCCACAGTTTGGCACTTGCTTCTCCAATGAAATCCCAGGCAGTTTGGGCAGTGGGTAGAACAGGGTGTGAGGGAACAGAGGCAAACCAGGGCCAAAAGCAGCCAGGTGACCTCGCCGAGAGCAAAAAAAACCCAACCCTGGAGCTTTTCTCTTCCCCCTAACACACACCCCGAGTTCCGCCCTGAAACCCAGTCCCTCCCACCAAGGGGAAAAAAACCCCAAACCTCCCTACCCACCACCCCCATCCCTGGCCTCGGGTAGAGGGAAGCAAAAGAGTCCTGCTTCTAACCGAGAGGAGTCGTTTAGCGTATCAATAAGACAGTCATTAAGGTCTAAGCCCATCAAACATCAAAACCTGAAAAACTCATCCCCACCCCAGCCAAGTGGTTGGTGTGAAAAAAATTCACCAGAAGATAATGAAAAAGGAAAAGAAACTGTAACACTGGGATAGAGTTAATTTTCTTCCTAGTTGCTGGTACAGTGCTGTGTTTTGGATTTAGTATGAAAATAATGTTGATAACACACTGATGTTTAGTTGTTGCTAAATAGTGCTTAGTAGTCAAGTTTAATAAACACAGCTAATATTGTAAAGTGTATATGTATATGATGTAATGAATATGTATGAGATAGCTAAAATAAATGCCAGAACACACTCTGTATCAGTGTGCAGGATTGTGGAGCTAGACTCCTCCTGACACCCAGCATGCTACTTGCTTTTTCCATATAATAAACTCCTATTTGAAAACCTATCATAATTGGAGACTTTGTTTCTCACATCAAGGATGTTTGATTTTCCCATGCTCTGCCAGCAAGGAGGTGCACAAGAAGCCAAGAGGGAACATAGCCAGGACAGATGACCCAAACTAGCTAAAAAGATATACCACACCATAGAACATCATGTTCAGTATATAAACTGGAGGGAGCTGGTCAGGAGCCACCAATCGCTGCTCAGGGGTGGATATCACTCAGTGGGTGAGGAACAATTGTATTGTGCGTCACTTGTTTCTCTTGGGTTTTATTCCCCTCTCTTTTCATTACAACAACAACATTAATAACAATAATACAATAACAATAATAACAATATTGCTATATTTTATTCTGTTTCAATTATTAAGCTGTTCTTATCTCAACCTAGGAAGTTTACCTTTTCTTTCCAATTCTCCTCACCAGCGGGGGACGATGGCATGGGGGGAGTGGTTGTGTGGTACTTAGTTGCCAGCTGGGGTTAAACCACAACACAGTATAAAAATGGAGAACTGTATACTGTTTCTTTTAATTCAATTCTATTAGAGTGCTGTGTCTGAAGATGAAAAAGTTGGTAAGTCTGTTTCAGATAATAAGATCAAAACTGAATGTGAGTTCTTTGTTATACTAGGTACTTTTCATTTATCAGTGGTTTTCTCACAGTGATACAATACTAGATGCAGTTGAAAATTACATATATAGTTAGCACATGAAATGGCACATAGTATGTTGTCTGCAACCATGAATGTTGAAAGTCTGGTTCAGATGTTGCTGTACTATACAAGATTTTCCCTCTCACAGTCCAGTAAGTCCTGCCAGAGCTCAGGATCATGTTTCATATAAATCATATTCTTGCTACTGTTGCTGCCAAAACTTTCTTCCACTTTTCAAGCCCGAGATAAATTTGTTTGATTTTTATTTTATTTAAATGAAAGCAGAAAGCATGCACTTTTTTGTATTAACAGTAATGAGAAGATATAAATAAAAGAGCAAGTACTGCTAATTTTTATACCTATCTAACCCTGACAAAGTAGTGGTTGTTAGTTGTGTGTAAATTAGGTCAATATTTAGGCTTTAAGAACTCTTGAAGTTGTACTATTCTGCAGGTGATTACATTTGCAACCTCACTGAAGCCCAAGGGACTGAACAAGGTATATATAACTCAGCAGTTTTTGTGCAGTTTTTTTAAAAAGGTGTTTTCTAAGAAAATGTGTAACATATATTCTACTATATGATACTTTTTCTTGCAACACTGCATGGATTTTGCTGCTGATAGTTAATAAAGCACATCACAAGACAAAAACTTTTTATGACTTGGTCAAACTTGGAAGAAGTGAAAATGTAGGTGATAAACTTGTTAATGCCATTTCCCTCCAGAATGCTGATTTAATAATCAAAGTAGTATAAAATCTGAAACAGATTGTAATAGAACAAAACTAATACATGAACATTTCAACAAATGAAAATGTCAACTATAAAAATGCTTTAAAATCTGTTTGTCAATTCTCAGCATAGTGGCCATTCTTAAGAAAATTACTTTCCCAAATCATGTTCACAAAAATCTGTCTTATAAAAACATAACAAAACCTGAAGCAAATTTCCTTCAAATATAAGAATGGTTCCCCTTGAAACTCAAGAAAACAAGTAGACATATTGGTAGGCCAGCTAGGCATGCCAGAGCCCTCATGACTGAGTTTCAAAATAAAACAACAGTATACAGGAGGTAGAAGTAGGAAAATGCTACAAAGGGATAATTTAGAAAAATTCCCTAGGCATGTATGTCATGGTTTAGCTGGTTCTTGGAAACTAAGTAGGAATTTTTTCCTTCCCCCTGCCCCCTGCATGCAGAGCTATCAGGTTCTTGAGGTCTATTGCCCAGGATGTGGGCATTGAGGAGGCATTTGAGAGATGATCAAAACCCCTGTCTCTCTGGGCACGGCTGTTGGACGGTGTGAGGGAGAGGTTCCTTTAAAGGGAGGCCTTGCAGACAGACCATTATGCAAAGAACTGGAATACCATGGAGGAGGGAATCCTACACCTGAGGGAAATGGCACTGTTGGAGGTACTGTTTGGAAGGGATGGGCAATCCACTGACGATCCTGACAAGGTTAAATGTACACTACACATGTGGTGGGTCTTCACAAGTATGAGGCCTTTGGCACATGTCAGTTACCTGACATCATTGGAGGCTGGGGAAAAGACACAGTCAGTGATGTCTATAGCAAATAAACTTTGGGTGTACGACAGTATGGTCCAAGGACCATTACAAGCCCACATTTCCTCTGTAGAGACATTGAGCAATGACCTCACTACCCTAACTACAAAAATACAAGATCAACAGGAGAAACTGCAAAAGAAGATTGAGAGAAACAGTTCCCATGTGGTACCAGTGAGAACCAGGCACCCCCCCAGCTAGAGAGGGTAGACAGACCTCACGAACCGAGCTGTGGTATTTCCTATCTGACCATGGAGAAGACATGAGACAGTGGGACAGGAAACCTACCCATGTCTTGGTAGCCCGAGTACAAGAGTTGAAGGACCAGAGAAAAACAAAGTCCGTGAAAGTGAGTGCAGTACCGGTATCCCGTGGGCAGGGATCTGACCTACTAGAAGGTACCTCCCACCGGTATTTGCAGACGGAAAACTCTGACAAGCAGGACAGAGACCAGTATTAGAGGGGCCCTGCCTCTAGCCAGGTAGAGGCACGGGACAACTGTGTCTATTGGACTGTGTGGATCCGATGACCTGGTACATCAGACCCACAAGAATACAAGGCTTTGGTTGACACTGGCCCTCAATGCACGTTAATGCCCTCAGGACATGTGGGACCAGAGGCTATTTCCATTTCTGGGGTGACAGGAGGGTCGCAGCAGTTGACCGTGCTGGAAGTTGAAGTGAGCTTGACCGGGAAGGAGTGGCAGAAACACCCCATTGTGACTGGTCCAGATGCCCCATGTATCCTGGGCATTGACTACCTTAGGAATGGGTATTTCAAAGACCCCAAAAGACATAGATGGGCTTTTCAGAAGAGTTGATGTGGAGACAGAGGTGGTTAAGCAGTTGAATTCACTACCTGACCTCTCAGAGAACTCTTCTGCTGTGGGATTGTTGAAGGTTGAAGAACAGAGAATGGAGATTGACTGTGGACTATCATGGCCTGAATGAAGCCACCCTACCACTGAGTGCCGCTGTTCCAGACATGTTGGAGCTCCAGTATGAGCTGGAGTCTAAGGCAGAGAGGTGGTACCCCACTATTGACATCGCAAATGCGTTCTTCTCCATTCCCTTGGCAGCAGACTGCAGGACGCAGTTTGCTTTCAGGTGGAGGAGTGTGCAGTACACCTGGAACCGACTGCCCCAGAGGTGGAAACACAGTCCCACCATCTACCATGGATTGATCCAGGCTACGCTAGAGAAAGGGAAGCCCCAGAACACCTGCAGTACATTGATGACATCATTGTATGGGGGGACACAGCAGAAGAGGTCTCTGAGAAAGGAAAAAAGATCATACAGATTCTCCTGGAAGCTGGGTTTGCCATTAAAAAGAGTAAAGTCAAGGGACCTACCCTGGAGATCCAGTTCCTGGGAGTAAAGTGGCAAGATGGACGTCATCAGATCCCGACTGAAGTCATCGATAAAATCACAGAAATGGCCCCACCAACTAACAAGAAGGAAACAAAAGCTTTCCTGGGTGCCATAGGTTTTTGGAGAATGCACATCCCTGAGTACAGCCAGATTGTAAGCCCTCTCTATCTGGTAACCTGCAAGAAGAATGATTTCCAGTGGGGTCCTGAACAACAGCAAGCATTTGAACAGATTAAACAGGAGATTGCCCATGCTGTAGCCCTTGGGCCAGTCAGGACAGGACCAGATGTGAAGAATGTATTCTACTCTGCCTCTGGGGATAAGGGTCTCTCCTGGAACCACTGGCAGAAGGTGCCTGGAGAGACCCGAGGCCGCCCACTTGGATTCTGGAGCCGAAGCTACAGAGGATCAGAAGCCAATTACACTCCAACAGAAAAGGAAATCCTAGCAGCTTATGAGGGAGTACAAGCTGCCTCAGAGGTGATTGGCACAGAAGAACAGTTCCTCCTGGTACCTCGGCTACCGGTGTTGAGTTGGATGTTCAAAGGGAAGACGCCCTCTACGCATCATGCCTGATACCTTGGAGTTTTGATTTTTTAATTTTTGTAGATCTTAGAAGTAGTTATGTAGTAAATGTAGATTTCAAAGTAGCAATACATTATCCCTTTACCCTTTAACACACCAACCACACATAGCAAACCCTGTTACCCATTCCCATATCAATTCCCCTAAATTCCATTAATTTATTTAATCTCTTTTTCAAGGTAGAATTGTAGAGAACACCCTAACCCTGCGTAAGAAGATATAGCCATAGACGCAGCAACCTTCAGACCTAGGACTCTGGAAGGCCTCCAAGAACATTACGTGCTCTGAGGAAGATGAAGATGAAGAAGAGGGGGTCCCAAAACGTCCCCAGACCCAATTCCCAAGAGGCGTGGCAGAGGCAGAACCTGGGTGGTGGCTGGATGGGGATTGGGTGAAAATCATTATAAAAACTGTGAACATCTGTATTCGGAAGTGCGCATTGGGGGTATTCTGGAAAGCCTGGGGGCTCATTAAAGCCTTTGTATCCTTATCTTATCTCCTGCCTAATTTGGCTTGGAGTCTTTTTTTCCCCACAACCATTTAGGTAACATGCCACTGACGCTACATGGAGCAAATGGATCGCCCTGATCATGCACCGCGCCCGCATTGGAAACCCAAATCGCCCGGTGATCCTAGAAATCATCAGGAACTGACCGGAAGGTGAGAACTTTAGTCTAGCAGAGGAAGAAGAAGGGGAGCAGGTGGTACGGGCGGAGGAAGCCCCAACATACAACCAACTACCAGAAGAAGAAATACGCTACGCACTCTTTACTGATGGTTCCTACCGCATTGCAGGGATGAAACGTAAATGGAAAGCAGTTGTATGGAGTCCCACATGACAAGTTTCAGAAGCTATGGAAGGAGAGGGTGAATCGAGCCAATTCGCAGAGCTCAAAGCTGTCCAGTTAGCATTGGACATTGCTGAACGAGAGAAGTGGCCAAAACTTTACACGGATTTGTGGATGGTGGCCAATGCCCTGTGTGGGTGGTTGGACAGATGGAAGAAGGCCAATTGGAAACAGGGGAATGTGATGGTTTGGACTTGACTCCCTGCCAAATGGCCAAACCCCCAGTAGCATCTGGGCTACAGATATATGGCAAGACATTGCTACACGGGGAGAGAAGCTGATTGTGAGAGTCTGCCACGTAGACGCCCATGTGCCCAAAAATCGAACCAATGAAGAGCATCGCAACAATGAACAGGCAGACTGAGCTGCACAAGTTGAGGTGTCACAGGTGGACCTAGACTAACAGCACAAAGGGGAATTGTTCTTAGCACGATGGACCCATGATGCCTCCGACCATCAGGGCAGAGATTCCACCTACAGATGGGCACAAGACCAAGGGGTGGATCTAACCATGGATGCTATTTTTCAGGTTATCCATGACTGTGAGACATGCGCTGCCATTAAACAGGCTAAGAGACTGAAGCCCCTGTGGTATGGTGGACGATGGAGTAAATACAGGTACCGGGAGGCTTGGCAGTTTGATTATATCACACTGCCACAGACCCGTCAAGGTAAGTGCTATGTGCTCACCATGGTGGAAGCTACCACTGGATGGCTGGAGACGCATTGGGTGCCCCATGTCACTGCCAGAAATACCATCCTGGACCTCGAAAAGCAAGTCCTGTGGCGACATGGCACTTCAGAGCAAATTGAGTCAGATAACGGAACACACTTCAAGAATAGTTTAGTTACCACCTGGGCGAAAGAGCATGGCATTGAGTTGGTCTATCACATACCGTACTATGCAGCAACTGCGGGGAAGGTTGAATGGTGCAATGGTCTGTTGAAGACTACAATGAAAGCATTAGGTGGAGGGACTTTCAAACACTGGGATCAGCACCCAGCAAAGGCTACATGTATTTAGTCAACACTAGAGGCTCCGTCAATCGAGCCGACCCTGCCCAATCAGAGTCCCTTCACACTGTAGATGGGGACAAGGTCCCAGTGATTCACATGAGAGGTATGTTAGGTAAAACAGTTTGGGTTAACCCTACCTCGAGCAAAGGCAAATCCATTAGTGGAATTGTTTTTGCCCAAGGACCTGGTTGCACATGGTGAGTGATGCAAGAAGATGGAGAAACCTAGCACATACCTCAAGGAGATATTATCTTAGGGTGAACAGACCATCACTCTGTATCCATATTTGTACCTATATATTTGTGAATGTGTACATAGTTTAGAATAATGTATGTATGTATGGAGTTCAATTTGATAGATGTATGGTGGCATGGGAAAGGAAAAAAATTAGGGGTGGATAATGTCATGGTTTAACTGGTTCTTGGAAACTAAGTAGGAATTTTTCCCTTCCCCCTGCCCCCTGCATGCAGAGCTATCAGGTGAGCACTTAAGAGATACAAAAGAACTAGCCTGGCTGGCTAATTGCCCAGAAATTAGTCTCCTAGGAAAAGGGGGGGGATGAGGGGCTGCACTTTACTTTTTTTTTCTCATCTCCTGGGAAATGGGGGGAGGAGTTTAGGTGTGTACTGGATGGTGGCTGGAACACAAATCAAAGTGGGAGGCTGGTCGTTCCTGTTGCTCCAGACCTGCTTGCCAGTTGCGGATGCTGCCTGGTTTGGTTTTTTTTTTGTCAGAGAGGAGTTGTTTTTCTGGGGGTTTTCCCCTTTTCCCCGTTCCCATTTTTTTTTTCTTTTCCCTGTCTGTGGTCCTTGTGCACATCAGGGGAGAGAGAGAGGACTGTGCTGAGCAGTTTGACCAGTTGGTGTAAGTGAGGGTTGTCTGTTTTTTTTTCATGGGGAGGATTTTCTTTTTTTGTTGTTGTTTCCCCTCCCCCTCTCTCTCTCCCCTTTCCCGGTGTGTGTAAAGGGAAGGGGGGCCTAGTTTTTTGGGTTTCTCCAACACACCCCAGAGGGTGTTCTCCCCGCCACGTGACAGTGACCAGTGATCCCACAGCGCCACCTGGTGACTGGCACAGGGCATTACAGGTTCTGCATCTGCAGTGATCCAACAGTGCCACCTGGTGACTGGTACAGGACATTACAAGTTCTGCATCTCCAGTGACCCAACGGCTCCCCATGTTGACTGTGGTTGGAATTGCACCAAAGGGCGCAAACTGAACTATTTACTTTTTTTTTTCCTTTCTTTGCTTGTTCATTGGTTTGCTGAGGGTTTTTTCCATGTTTCTGCCAATACACAAATACCTTTTAATAAAAGGTTGTTATTTTTTTCCTTTTCCATAATTTGTTTTCCTTCAGTCGGAACCTCCTAATTTCAGATTTATAATTGCTTAGAGGGAGGAGTTTGTGTCTTTTTCTCATAACTCATCCTCAGCAAAAGACCCGTGTCTCATTTAAACTGGGACAATGTAAAAGGGATGATAGGAAAGCCAAAGTTCAAATGGAGTTAAGACTTGCAAGGAACATTAAAGGCAACAAGAAGAGCTTCTACTGCTGCAGTAGTAGTAAAAGACTGAACAAGGAAAATATATGACCATTACTGAATAAAGTGGGCAATTTATTCACAGTGTACCGGCTGTGATAAGGTTGAAGTAGTCAATGCCTTCTTTACCTGAGTTTTCACTGACAGAGTTTCTCAGGCCTCTGCACTTAGAAGCAGGGTTCAAGGAGTAGAGGAACTGCCAGAAGTAGATAAGGATCATACCAGTGATTATTGGGAGAATTTGACTCATGCACATACATTGGACCAGATGGGTTGCATCCAAGAATGCTTCTGATTGCATTGCAAGACCACTGTTGTATCACCTTTGAAAAAGTATGGAGATTGAGGGAGGTGCTCAACCTCTATATAGAGAAGGGCAAATGTATTCATCTTTTAAAAAAACCAAAGGGACAAGCATGGGAGATCAAGGCCAGCTATCCTTACTTTGGTTCTTGGGAAAATCATGGAGTGAGTCTCAGATAATACTTCTGGGTCCATAAAGGAGAAAAAAGGTGATTTGGAACAGTCAACTTAGACTTGCCAAGTGTAAATCACGTCTGCCCAGACCTGATTGCCTTCTATGATAAAATGACTGAATGGGTAGACAAGGGGAGAGGGGTTGATGTCACTTACTTGGACTTTAGCAAGACTTTAGACACCGTCTCCCATAAGACTCATGTATTCAACTCAAGATGTTGTGATCTCTATGACTGGACAACTATATAGTTTGGATGGTTGGGCTCAGAGGGTAGTGGTTAATGGGTCATACTCCTGTCAGAGACCAGATTCGCATCTCACGGAATTGTTTGATTGATGGGTCAAATAAGTAATGTTGTCTGGGGGAATGGGGGGAGAGGAAGGGCTAGGCCTAGGCCTGCAACCAATATGGCTGCACCCATGAAGAGCACATGGCAGGCAAAGCCATGTGGTTGAGCTGTCAGTCAGTAAGGCCACCTGGTGGCCCACACACACCATGCCCCCTGTAGCCTCTAAGAGGCTGTGGTGAAACAGGAAGGGTTAATCAAAAACACTTTTACTGTAAACCCATAAGAACCCCCCCTTACCCCCGTACTTCGTTTACTGTAAGCTGTAAGGCTATGTCCTGTACTAAGAGCATTAGACCTTAAAGGAACCACAACAAACACTAGACAAAAAACTCAACACACATAAATCTCATCCAGAGGAGCCAAGGTAGACATTTGAATAGGTAAAGTAGGCCTACAGTCAAGGGTTTCTTGAAGCTTAAATGATCAGAACACAGAACAATGGAAAGAACAAAAGGTCACGGATGTCACCCGAGGAAAATGAGTAAAATGCAGACCCCAGGATGAAGGCAGGCAGGAACTCCCACCATAATATTCCTCAAAATAGAGACCACGCCTCAAACTCCGCCCCGACTCCACCTGCTATGAATATTGTAATCTAATGATGCAATACTATGATTGTGCATATGATTATGTTGTAATCATGATTAGAAACTGTATAAATTGCTTGTTTTTACTGAACCACTTCGGAGCTTTTTTGTCCAGCCTGAGCTGGAAGCTACCCCGGCGTCGTTAATCATTCAATAAATACCTGCTGTTTATAAGCTCAAAATTCTGCCTGTAAGCAGTTTTTTTTCAAAGCTGCCTTTTTTTTGGGCATCATTGGCACCTCTCACTTTGGTTAGGGGGACAATGAGTGGCAGTGAACCAAAGGTCCTGCCTAGGGGGAGTGGCCAGAGTCACATGTGGTCTCCATCTTCCCTTGACCTCTGCCCTCCTGACCTGTCAACATGTGACCTCCAGAGTGATAAATATGTCTCTCTCCTCTCTTTCTCTCTTTATTCTTTCTTCTCTTAATCTCTCTTCCTTTACTCCTGTGGGCAACCCAAACACCTAAGTTATGGGTATTTCACTTAAGTTGTATGGAGTTTGTGTTTACTGGGTGTAACAAAGGTTCCCTTACTATAGCAATGCCTGCTAATCTCAGTAATCTGTTTTAATGCTTTTGTGAAGTTGTATGTTATTTCTGTAAAACTCTTTTTGCCAAAATGTCTATTTTCTTACCAAATTAAAAGAAATCTCTGTATTCATGCTTAATTAGACACTGCTACTTTTGGTCTGTGTTTGGCCCAGCCACCTGTGAGAGTCTGTTCTTTTCCTGCCAAGTTATGAGAAAACAAGCACTGATAAACTAGAACTTTGTCCTTGACCTCCTGTATAAACTGAAATTAATTGGTGACTGGCTATTGGCTGATGGCCCTCCAAGGGAGTCAAAGGTCTGTGGCTAGGTGGTGCTGGCCACACCTGCCCAGATAGACATCACCTGCTAATTGTATGAAAAGCAGATATCTCATTCTGGGAGAGAACTCAAGCTTCACATGGAGGACAATGTTGCCTTTTGCAGGGATGCCCGTTATCTTGAGAGCCTGCCGACACTCCAAGGATGCAGCTTCTGCTATGGGGAATTCTAGTCATTCTATGGTCAGTAAGGCAACCTCTTAAGTAACACCTGCGTGAGTGTGGGGTGTAACAAGGAAAGCAGTACAACACAATCCTTCCAATTCTAAATAATATGTCCATTACCTTCATCATTAACAGCATTGTTGCCACACAATTCAGGTAATAATTAGAGGCAATGGTCAGCTTGGGAATCTCCATTATCCAACGTTTAATGTCAAGGCTAAGGAAGGAGGAATACCTGTACCAAATGTCTCTCCAATCAAACACCTTTGGGTCTGGATGTTTCTGTTGGGGTAGGCGGTGGGTCCACAGACCCCCTGATGAAGGACATAGAGGTGGAGGATTTTGACTTAGACACTTTGAA